GGAGGGGACGTTCCTGGTGGAGGCCGGGGTAGAAACACGGGGGGGGTCGGGCGGCGCCCCAGCCCCCAAGGCAGAGTTCACCGATGGGGGGGGCGGCCCCGCACCGTCTGCCTCCCCCCCTCCGCGCTCCGGGGGGCGGCTACCGACACCCGAGCGGCCGGTGGGGGCGGTTCCTCGGCCGGGCTGGCAGCGCCCGCCCTCCATCCATCCCTCCATCCCTCCCTCCCTCCCTTCGCTAGCCGCCGGGGTGGTTTTTTTTCGCCTTGTGCCGTCCCCGAGGCTCCCGGCTGCCCGCAGCCGTGCGGGGAAGCGGGCAGGGCTCCCCCCCGGCCATGGCTGGCTACCTCTCCCCCGGCGCCTACTTCTACGCCGAGGAGCAGGAGTACCTGCAAGCCTACGAAGATGTCTTGGAGAGATATAAAGGTAGGGTTGCCCACCCCCCTTTCCCATCCTAACCCCCCCATCGGGCGTGGCGGCTGCGGGTTTGGGTGGCTCCGGCTTTGCGGGGGGACCCCCCGGCCCCGCGTCCCTGCCCGGTGTCTGTCACGGGGGGGGGACGGAGGTCGGGGGTGTCTGCCCTCAATAAACACCCCGTCTGCCCCGCACCGGTGGGTGCAACGCGCTCTCTCCTCTCCAGAAATGTATTTTTCGAGTGAAACGCAAACACGGGCATATACATCTCAGCTTCGGTTTATTTTGACCTTTTTGTTTTGGGGTTTTGGTTTCATTTTATTTAATTTTTTTTTGTGGTTGGGAAAAGAATGATCTCAGTTCATGTAGCACCTGTGTTTTTTCATAAAAATAAGGAAAAAAGGCGTTTATCGTGACAAGGATGCATGCAGCTAAATTTATCTCGCTAGAAATGTAAATTACAGAGCTTCCTTAAATTCATCGGGATGGAAGACACAGTTTGAGAGACATCATTATTCATTACTGTTTTTGGGTACATTCGCTGATACTAAATCTGAAAATGCTTCTCCAAAAGCGTTACAGCTCTGATTTTAATTCAAGTGAAAAGGGGTTGGGTTAAATGTTCAGATTGAATCTTCATCCTAGAAATAGTTCTTACAGCATGTCACAGCATATGTTGACGTTTGCGACACTGAGTGCTTTTCTAAGGGTTGGGAAAGGGATGGGTTAGATTTTTATACCTGAAATCTCTCAGCTGTGTGCTTCGAGTCAGTTCTAAAGATTTTGGTTAAATGGTTTCTCCTGCTGGGAATGGGAGTGGCATAGTTTAAGACAGCTTGATTTGAAGATACAGATAGCTGGTTGTATTTAATCCGGGTTGTTAGTGGTACTGTTTTGAAAAAGAAACCCTCTGCAGATGGTTGTTTTGGCATGAGAACTTGTGGGGTCTGAGGCTAGTTTCTACCTGTGTCACTTGCAATTTCATGTGTCATTAACAGTATTGACTAATGACTCCTTTGTGTCTGTTGCCCATTGTGTCAATGCAGCTATGGAGCATGTGCACTGTTTCTGTGCTGAAATGGATTAATGCATTTTAGTTAAGAAATAATTATGGTTTGTAACAGGTCATCTTCAAAAGTACATCTCTGTTCTATTCTCCTGTATTTTTAAGTCATCAATTACTTGTTATGTAGCCGAACTGATTTTTGCAAGATTTTAAACCAAGTAGACTGTTTACTTTGTAAATAAAGAAAACACTGAGAAAACTTGTTTTTATGTTCTGGTGCTAATCCAAACCACTGTGATTCTGCTTTAGATTACCTTTGATATTCTGCTAGAGTTAGGCTTAATAAGGTTCATTCTCATACCAGTTTGTCTACTTGCTTAAAAATCTGGGAAAGATATTAGGCCTAATTTCCCCTCTTTCAGCAAGAGCTTAGTGAGCATGAGGACTGAAACGTTTGTTTTTTAAGTCTTGGGGGACAAAGGGATTTTAATAAAAATAAACTCCTAAAGCTAATTAACATCTCTATTAGAAATAAAGCACATTCTGGAAATATTGGAGTGTGTATCATATTGTGGGGGGGAGCATTGGGTCCATTCACATGCTGTTTTCAGTGGCAGCCAAATTGTGAAATTATTTGGGAGGATCCAGCTTCTGTTGTCTTAGTTTTTAGCGTTGTATTCAGTATACGGGTATGCTGTGTTTTGCTGTTTGAGGTATACTTTATTCAGCCATTGGGAGCAAAGGTAAAGATTCAGACTTGTTTTAATTAAGATATATTGGAAACCTGGAAAACACATTATTTGTTCAAATGTGTTTCCAAGCCGGTCATGATTTCCCATCTGAGTCCCAGTAGTATGACTTCACTACAGCCATTGTTGTTCTGATGGCTTGCTATGGGAGCTGATCTAATCAGAAAAGAATTGCTACGATATAGACTTTGAAGAGGGAGTGCCATTTCTCTGAATTTCTCAGTTTTGTAAACACTGCCTTTAGTAATTTTCTTAATCAAATGCAAACCATGCTGACTTTATATTTTTAAGGCGAGCTGCAATCGGTTAATTGTAATGCGAATAGAATAGTTCATGGGTGTGTGGTTGTTTTTTTTTTTTCCTTTCTGCAGTTTGCAGATTGCTCTCATATTCATCCAGGGCATTATCAGGGAGCCAAATTATCTATGCCCCAGCTGTTGAGTACTGTAACTAGCAGAGTCAGCTGTACAAAATTCATTGCCTGTCTTGGAAGGCTTGGGATCATATGATGCCGCATCATTAAGACATTCGGGCCATTTGATTTGGTTTAGGAAGAGAAAAGCAGTCCTTTTTTGATGTGGAAAAGTGAAATTTTACTCATCGTCCGTTTCTGCAGCCAAAGAAGGCTGTGGATCTTGAAGACGGTGCGATAGCGAGTACCTTGTTGCTCTAACAGTTAAACCCAGGATATTTGTACGTCTCCAAATTCTGTCTGCTGACTGCGTCTCTGGCTGTGACAGCAAATAATTAGGCAACTGTTTGCTAAATATGCGATAGCACAGAAGAGCTGCTGCTGTGGGAGAAGGGAGGGTTGTTTTCTGATTCCCGGTCAGCTCAGTTACTGGCTGTCATGGTTTTTTCGTTTTTTTTTTTCCTTGATTCATGTAGTAATTAATTGGCGGTATTTCTAAAGCACTTTGGAGGAGGAGAGAAAGTCACATTATCTCAGATGATTTAGAAATCATGTTGAATCAAGCTACTTATTCAGGGGGAACAAAAAAGCTTCTTTGTTACTAGCACCTCTAGGAATGCAAAGGCAAAGCCTTTATTGTGATAGTGGTAATAAAATGCCCAGTGTGTTTTATCTGAAACATTTGATGGGTTTCACATCTTGTTTGTGACTAAATAGGAAGATGAGAAATCGTACAAATACTTGTTAATATAACTAACAGTTCAGCTTTATCTCAAAAACTATATTTGAGCTCTCTAGGACGTTGTGAAGAACTTAAAAAAATTAGTCTTAGAATCACAGAATCAGTTTGTGAGTTGTCTCCCCATTGCCTGGGAACAAAAAATTTATAAAATTATTGTTAGCTGCAGCCTTCTTGGTAACTAAGAAAATGTCCGATAGTATTTTAGTATACATCTAATTTTTAAAACATTAATGCCATCTGCTAGATGGTAGAGGTATACGTTGTTCCATACCAATATGATTTGAGTATTAAATATTTGAAGACTGCCAGTTTAAGTTTTAACTGCAATGCATTCCTTAGATTTGCTCCGGTATAAACCCTAAGTAGTACACCAAGAATCTAGATTTATGTACACGATCCCTCTGAAATTGTATAGTTCACTACAGGTAAAACTTTCTTGTCTTTTTCAGTTTATATTTATGTTCAGTAAATATTTATGTAAATACCAGTTGCAACAACCTTCTTTTCCTGCGAGATTTTGAACAATTATGTAACAAAGTTGCCTCCCTTTGACATCATTATTGAAATGGTCGGGTCTGTTAATGACTGTGGGATTGCTGTCTCTCAGAAGGAGTTAACTCTTAGTGTTAAATAGTGAGTAAATCACAATTATTCAAGAATGTTCTTACAGTCTTGTAAGCTATAAAAGCTTAAAATATATAGGGTTATCTGACCCCGTGCAGACCTTTTAGTGCTGTAGATTTTGGCTCTGTAGGAAACGGATGTGTTAGAAAATTCAGTTTGAAGTGACTGCCCACGAAAAATCCAACCTTGCTCTTCAGGGACTTGACTAAGTCCTTGTCAGGGACAGGAAAGGTATCACATAAATGTTCTCTTTGGATTGGAGGCTTGATTGCTGCTTCTTTAGGGTACTTTGGGCTCTCTGCATAGCCTCTGCCTCTGGAGAAGGAGGGGAAAGTCTGGGAATGGGGATTGCAAAACTCAGGTTGGGTTGTTTAAA